GTTTATTACATATTGTGTCTAATATGAACACCCTATCATATGTCATTTATTTAGAAATAATCACTGAAGTTGATTTTTTTTTTAAATTAAGATCAATCGTCAAGGTCAAGGGATAAGAAATCATAGCATGCTCGGAATTATCTTGTCAAAGGTAATGCACATGTCAAATATGAAAGCCCTATTTACTCTCAATATATTAGGAACAATATGTGTTTGTGAAACACTGATGACCCGTTATGGCAACATAACAAAGATTAAACTTTTCTTAAATGAAAATTAAATATATAATTTGCCAAAGTAGGGTTTTTATGCCCCCGTAAACGAAGTTTTGGGGGTATATAGTTTTTGTCGTGTCCGTCTGTCTGTCTGCTTGTCCGCAAAAACTTTGACCTTGCCCATAACTTTTGATTTAGTGGAGCCATGACTTTTAATAAATATTTCACATGTGTATTCCTTGTGACAAGAACTTTCTTTGAGTACCACCAAATTTGACCTTTTGATCTAAACCTTGGAGTTTGACCCACTTTTACATGAAAATTTTTAACTTTTACTTTGGTAATATCTTTTGAACAGTAGATACCAGGACATTTATACTTCACATATGTATTTCTTGTTGGAGGAACTTTCATTGGATACCAACAACCTGGAACCTTTGACCTTGACCTTGTAGATTTCCGTATTTGTGAAAACTTGTGAAAACTTTTAACCTGAGCCCTAACTTTTGAACGGTAAGGTATAAGGCTTTCATACTTCATAGATGTAATCCTTGTGACCCTTCATTGAATACCAATAACTTTGTCCCTTTGACCTTGACAATTTTCAAAAAAGCAGACCTTGATCATAACTTTTAAAGAGTTAGGGCTAATGCTTTCATACTTTACATCTTTAATTCTTGGGACAAGACTTTCATTTGATAACACCGTTCACGGTAGCTCAGTCGGTAGAGCGCTCGCTTCGTGATCGGGAGGTCGTGAGTTCGTATCTCGGCCGCAACAGACCCAGTCGATAAAATTTGTAGCAACTGTTCCTTCGCCATGCGCTCGGCACTTTGAAGTGAAAGTTGCGGGTCCTTCGGATGAGACCTTAAAAACCGAGGGCCCGTGTCAGCGGCAGGCGTTGGGACGATAAAGATCCCTCACTGCTCAATGGCCCTGAGTGCCAAGTAAAGGTAAAAAATTGTAGCCCTTCAGCGGCATATACTCATCACTCATATCATCACTCATATGATGTCTCATATGAGTGAAAAATTCTCGAGAGGGACGTTAAACAATATACAATCAATCAATCAATCATTTGATAACAAGAACTTTAACCCTTTGACCTTGGAGTCTGACCTACTTTTAAAAAAAAACATCCTTGACCATATCTTCTGAACAGTCAGGAATAGGACTTCCATACTCTACATAAGTATTCTATGTGACAAAAATTTTCATTGGATACCAATTATCTTGACCTTTTGACCTTTGACATGGGAGATTTTTATGCTTATTGAAAAAACTTAAACATTGTTTTTGCTTTCAAATTTCACACTTGTTTTTCCTTTTTGGTACCAATTAATCAAATTTGCATGCAAGAAAAGTTTAATCTTTGCTATGTAGCCATACGGGGGCATAAGTGTTTCACAAACACATCTTGTCATCACAAGAAATAGGATTGTGGAATACAAAATCCCTTGCACCACCTGGTCAAAAGTTATAGTCTAGGATAAATGTTTGAAAGGTGGGTCAAAATCTAAGGTGAAAGGGTCTTGTCACAAGTAATACATATGTGAAGGATGAAAACCCTAACCGTTCGAATGTTATGGCCAAGGCTAAAGGTTTTTAAAAGTAGGTTAACTCCAAAGTCTAGGCCAAAGGGTTAAAGTTCTTGGTATCTAATGAAAGGTCTTCTTACAAGGATTACATATATGAATAACAAAAGCCCTAGCCCTTACTATTCAAAAGTTTTGGTCAAGGTTAAATTTTTTCCTAGCAACGGAAATCTCCAAGGTCAAGGTCAAAAGGTCAAAGTTTTCAGTATCCAATGAAAGGTCTTCCCGCAAAAAAAAACATATGTGAAATATGAAAGTCCTAGTATCTAACGTTTAAAAGTTGTGACGAAGGTAAACGTTTTTAAAAAGTAATAAGAACTTCAAGGTCAAAGGGTCAAAGTTCTCAATATCCAATTAACGGTCTTTCCACAAGGATTACATATGTAAGTATGAAGGTCCTGTCCATTACCATCCAAAAGTTGCGGTCAAAGTTAAAGATTTTTCATAAGTACGGAAATCTCTAAGGTCATGTAACCAAAATGGCCGGGATTGATACCTGTTCTGGATTTACTCAAAAGAAAACTATCAGGGGAAAAATAGAGATCTGATGGTTCACATGTATAACAGCTTTATAGCACGCAGAGTTTTTTGTCGCCCCCCCCCCCCCAAACAGATTTTAAAAGCCGTTACCTCTATCAAACGGTATTGGATTGTTGAAACAAAAAAAAAAATTTGCAGAGCCTTGCTGCACAAAACTAATGCCGGAGAAAACTTGTTCCATATTTTAAAATCTAGAACTAGTCGTTAAATGACGTTTTTTTCAATCGAGTTGTTAAGTTACATGTATCTATATATTGCAAGTTCTTCCCACTTTTTTTAATGCTTGTACCATAGAATTAAAGTTTAGTTTGTATTTAAAAGTTTATGTTCAAAAGATCTGCCAGTCAACCTGTAAATGCAATATGCAGATTTAAAAGCGCGATTTGCCAGTGATTTGCATATTCTAATTTGAATAGAGTGAATTATTCTACGGGCAATTTACCTAAGGTGCGAACGCTCCAGCATTCTCGCGCATGCGTAGCCTGTCGTTTTCCCATTGCATTCGGTTTAAACTTGCTTATATATTTACTGCGTGGGCCTCAGGGTTCATGCAATTATTTATTTCACTTTATTTGAACAAGTTTTTATAGACGTCAATATACACTGCAATATTAACTTTCGGTTTAGTGGTATGGAGTCTAGGATGAGCTGTGAATGTGGAAAAAGTCCATGCATGGCCAGTAGTGGTCAAGCAGATTGCATTGAATATAAAGCACACTCTAGATACTGAATAAGATTTTTTTCACCAAGCCCAGATCTATTTGTTTAGGTGGGTCCCCACAAATTTGAAAACACAGCCATTCCGGTGTTTTTTTAAGTTGAGGTTAGGAATTTTTTTCCGGATTTTTTTTTTACGATAACACTTTAAACTCCTGTCCATATATCGTCCACCCCCACCCGCATTTACAGTAAAATTTTATCTATTTTGTATTGTTATTTCATGGAACTTTAGGTAATGTATCTGTTTTTCAAACTCTTCACATCTAGACAAACTTTTGTCTACTGCAGATTCTTACAACAATCGTCATATAAAAGGAAACTTAAATCCCAACAATTGGGTAGATATGTACTAGATGTACTTTGTACTAGTTGTATTGTTAAATGTAGATAACACAATTTAGTCGTATAATAATATATTGTCAAATCAAAGTTTATGCAACATAAACAGAATTTTGGCAGTTTTTCATATAGAAGAGCGAGACATCCAGACTTTAAAAGTAGCTTTAGTCATGTGTACCAATGTGCACATAATATCATTGATTAGAACATCCTAATTCTACACACTTAATGGTGTTTTATAAGTTCTTGTTTTCCGCACGAGTTATATTGTTTGCTGATTTAAAACTTTTGATGACTGTTCTGTGGATATCTTTATGATCATTTTTTTCTTAATTTTTCCTTTAGAAATTAAAGTGTATCTACTACATGGTAAGACGTTTTATTTTTCATACTTTTAATATATATCTTGAATCCCACTTTTATGTTGTCATATTTTCATAATACTCATTCTAATATTATCTTGATTTCATCACGTACGTATTTTGTATTCGAAAATGTTATTTCTTAATAAAAAAAACCTTTTGAATATAATAAGTACTTTACTGTCTACAAACAGTGGAATATATCCAGTCGACATTTAAATATTATAAACTGTTGTTAATTGATTAAACTTTTCGATTTATCGATTGGAATACAACATCAAGTTTTTTCTTCTTATGTGGAAGTCTTTCGATAAATTTTTCCTCATATTAATATAAAATCAAATCAGCCAATAAAACAGAACATTTATTATCCAATTAAATCCGAAGAATTACAAACGATAGTATTGTTCTCCTGGATGGTTATAGTACTCCTCGTACTGGTAATTAGTACTCCTCGATGGAGAGAACTAATATAGGCCTTTGACCTGCTGTTCAATCCATATTCATATTGTACACTTTGTATGTTATGAATAAAATACTTCTTAAAATTAAACTGTTCTCCTGGCTTCCTTTAAGTCAATTTCTAATAATTAATATATTTGAGCGATTTTTCATTTTTATATTGACATCTAAATATATCTATAGATTGTTTGACGGTGGATACTTACTATTAATCCCACTTCTGTACTTTATAGTGGTACGTTTTGTCGCTCTGTTCCCAAGATGTATTTTTTTTCAAATGAAATTTGAGCTTTATTACTGTTTGCTATCTTAGTGTTTTTAAAACATTTTAACCCTAATTTTAGGATTTGGTCATAAAAAGGCTAATATCCAATTTTTGTCCTGTATTAAAAAGAACAAACAACTGAATTAATACAGAAGCATAAATATTGATCATTTTCCAGTGATTTTACGAAATATTGTTTTAAATAAAACATATAGAGAACAAAAGGATTGAGATTTTAAATGACACGTGTAAAAAAAGCAACACAGTCTTTACGATTTGTGATACTGGCAAAGCATATTATTATTTTTTAAAAATAATTCCGCTCTATTTGACTTTGTTGATCACATTCTAAGCCTCAAGTCTATTTGTTTTTCTTAAAATAAAAAGTATCGAGAAGCATTTTATTTTTTAACTGTTTTTTCATTAAAAGGCTGAATTTATTTTTTTTTCAAGCTTTTTTTATAGTGAGACTTTTTGTGTTACATTTGTATTTGCACTTCAGATTCTTAACTTCATGGAGACATCAGGATTTAGCCCACAATGTAAAATACTACAGTGTTTCCAGTGTCAGGGACACACAGAATTCTACTGTAACACGTGTAAACATGATCTGTGTCTACAGGGGGCACCTCATTGATCTAGATAATATATACCATGATGTTATGACTACATTACAAAACAAGAGACCTGTGAGAGACATCCAGACCAAAACTTGGACATTTTCTGTCTTCTGTGTAAGCTACCTGTTTGTGACCAATGTACAGAACACAAACATCACCAAAGAGTAGACATTAGAGAAGCATATAAAACAAAGCGACAACAACACAAAGACAACATTCACAAAATTAGAAGTGAAACTCTCTTTAGGAGTACTTTCCTTCTAGAGGAAATGAAATCTAGTATCAAATCTTACAACATTACCATCCTCTGTCAATCAAAGATATAAAAAAAAAAGCCGAGAGACTAAAGGATATCGTGGACTCTATTATGTATGATATTGGAATCAAGCATAAAAGTTTTATTCAAAGATTTCAACAACAAAGGCGAAAACTATCCAGGATAGAGAATTATGAAAATAGAACTGATAACCTAACAAACAGACCTATAAAATTTATCGTTTACCGAAACGAAATTTGTCACTCTTTGGAAAAAAGTATTTTTAGGGTTGCTAAACATGCCGTACTCTACTCGACTAATGAAATCAACATGGGGCCTGTGACTAGTCTACTGTGTGAAATCAAACTCAGAAAGGCGAGAAAAAGACAAATAAGAAACGATTGTCTGTTGAATATGATGTCAAACATCTCGTTAGGCGTTACAATATCATCTCACAATCGAAAGTATTTTTGATGTTAAACACATCTCCTTAGTAACATCAGACCTAGTCTGGATCAATGATTCATACAGCAATCTCATTTTGAGAAACAAAGACGGTAAACTATTGTATGTTATGACAAATATACTAAATGAATGAGGTATTCAGACAGTAGACACAACAGGGGATCTTATTTACATAGACAAGAATTACAATATAAATATACTCTCTAAAGATGACAGAACAAAATCTACACTGATAAAGTACACAGAACCATGGAAGCCGCGATGTGTCTAATGGAGACGTCCTGGTTGGTATGTTAAATACCGAATTATGGACAGCGGTAACCAGACGATATAAGAAAGTAGGGCAGCAGATGTGGGTTGGATATAACAAAACTTACCCTATGTGGATGGGAGAAAGGAATAATAGCAATGTATGTGTCTTTCGTTACTTGGAAAGGAGAAAATATCTGAAGAGTAAATGCTTATATTCAATAAATACTTGAACAGACTCAAGACTCGCTGATATGTCTGAGTAATTAGTAATTAGTATGTTTTTAACATTTACACATATTCATACGGAAACAGGACTATCTGAAAGGTCATGGTTGTTAGATAATAACAAAAAAATGCACTAGAATATACACGAGGACTATCGGAAACTGTCAATATTTAAGTTTAATATCCATTTAAAATCTAATATAAATGATATTTTGTAAATGTCCATAGTTTCTTATAACTGGATATATATTTTTGACATATTAAAGTTTTTTTGTCGTTTATGCTATTGGTTAGTTCTTCTAATGAGAGTGTATTAACCAAATTCCCGTGTTACAGTAGGTGTTAACACGAAAAAGATCCCTTACTTCCCAATGGCCCTAATTGATAACTATGGGTTAAAATTTTCAGCACACCTAAGCTTCAGCAAGTGGTGGGGCCTCCATATGGATGAACAATTCTCAAGCGACTGTAAACAACATGAAAACACACAAAAATGATTATTACATGAATGCGGCAATATTATTCTTTAGCTGTGCTGTTTCATTGTAATTGCTGTATGTGTTGTTGCTTTCTAAAAGTCCCTTATAAAATTTTTGCTCATACACTGTATTAAGACGTCATCACTTGCAAGTGGAGATAGTAAATTTTGACCTGTAGGCAACACTTACGGCCTTTATGCAGAGAGGGGTCGTTTTCGTTTTAGCAATTTGTGCAACACGGGGCGGTTTATATAGTAATATAGGGTCTTGCATGGGATGGATTCTGTGAACTATATTAACGACTTTTTTGATTCTTTCAATGAAAAGATCTGTTCATCACATATCAAAACAATGTTTTTTTTCTTTTGTAATTACTATGCTTAGCATTATTCTTTCATGTCAGATTTTTAATCTATTATAACATCATGGATGTTAGCATATACAATAAGATAAACACAAAATATACGCACAGATAACGGATACGTGCGATCTTTATAATGCAGAACTCGGAATTCGAGTCTATAGATATCCCCCGTGGGTGGGAAATGTGAATGGCATAATACGGCTACTTAAAAAATATGCACAATGATATTTTGGATGAATTGGATATATTATTAATATTATTTGCACATGAAATTTCAGCCGATTTTTTTTTTTCGTTTATCCCATCATGACAAAGATCAAGCGACGGATGTGATCAGGCGACATGGGATTCATTCCCTTCCGAGGCATTAAATCCGCCTGATTTTAGAGGTCAGTGTTTCCTCTTCTCCCGATTTGTTTTGAGAGATTTATCTCCACGTTTCATGCACTTGATTAAATATAGTTGGCATTTGAGCGTTTTTTCATATCTTCCTCAAATTTTAATAAATATTCATAGATAAGAACAAGATGATTTTTATATACTTAGTATATAGATATAACGAACGGTATTCCAAAGTTCTGTCAAACTATACAAACCTGGAGAGGAGAAAACACTGCTCTCTAAAACATCGGAGGCGGGATATAGTGGAGAAGTGACCAGCTCCTGTCGACCACTCTTTTTCACGACTCGGAAATAATGGGAAAATACGTCGAAAATTTGGTGTGTAAATAATGGCTTAATGATAATTAATTAATGAACCTCCTAATATAACTAATTAAGGTATATTGATGCATATGGAAGATGATAAAGGAGATGTTAAAGTCATCACATATTTATCAAAATGCTTCGTTAATATTATAAAGTTACCATTAACTTATCTTTTTATAAAAAATATCTATATATGAAACAGATGTGTCAGACTCTCTGTAGTATATTTTATTTCATGGGATATATAAATATATTGAGTGGAAATATGAATAAAAACAATCTTTGATAATACGAGTAACAGTGAAGGTGCGCAATAGAAACACGAAAGCACACAACAATACAAAACAGGAGCAGAGCAAACACGGACCATCGAAACATCAGAGGTGGGATCAGGTACCATGGGTGAGTGAGCATCCCCTGCTGACCGGATACACATGCCGTGTGCTCCATGTCAAATTCAGGAAATAAGCTAAAAAAATCCGTCATCAATTCAGTCTATAATTAATGGAGTAATAATTCGTAAGAAAAACGTCAGTCAGTATTTCACTCAACGATAAATTGTGTTTGCTGACAAGGTCATTGTATCGACCATAGAATTTCGAAATGATGACTTTAAACGAGACTGCTGATATTTTTGTTTCATCAACTTGCTTGTCAATAATTTACCTCGTTTTAGAAATTGTTCATACGTAAAGCATGCTCTTGCATATCGAATCAACTGAGATATATATACTCTGTATGCAAAGATGTTGTATATTGTTGCATAAGTAAGGGACGTTGATGATAGAAAAGTTCAAATCATCACGTTTTTCAGAAAGCTTGGTTGTTATATTACCATTTACGTCTATTTCAAGTAAAATATCCAAGTATAAAACAGATGTGTCAGACTCTGCGGTATCTTCTACCTCAAGCTCATCAGAATATATCGTAACGACGTAGGAATGGAAATTACCATTGCTAATTGACAATACGTCATCGACATATCCAAATGTCGAGTTGAAGGCCACAGCTAGTGTTTTCTTCTTTTCACGCATACGATCTTGCACAAACTTGCTTCATATGAATATAAAAATGGGTCTGCTAATTACAGAACGCAATTGGTACCCATGGGAATTTCAATAAATTGTTGGAATACCTGGTCTCCAAAAAACCACTTAGATATTTTCAATCAGAAATTCCAGCATTTCTTTGATGTCAACTTCAGAGTACTTGTGTGTGCAATCAGAATGTTTTAACAAAATAATTTTGCAAATGACCAATGGCCAGGTAAGTAAATTTACGAGTTCCATTTTTATTGAAAAAGCAGTTGTCAATGATATCAAAAAAGCCTGGACTTTAATTTATCTTGGGGAATGGTTTTTTTATATAGTTGAAAAGTCGTAAGTTTTAAGCCGTTGATTTTGGTAAATTCTTGTGATTTCAAATTGTCTAAAAGTTATTTGGAATTTTTGAGTATTCACATCTGATTCAGACCACTTCTTGAATATATTGTTGCACAGTACTCTTGAGGTTTTTCCTTCGCTACTTCAATATTTTAGTGAGAAGTAACGAAATAGGCTTGTTAGAACATTTACTGGAACCCGCAATATATCTTTGTTTGTAGGGATTTTATGAAGTTTCAGAATCCAATATATGTTTTCCGACGCCAGTTGAAGGATCTAAGTGATCTAAGGTCCTCATTATTAACTATATTTTCGTCACCTTTGATAACATGTCCAGCAGGACTACGGTTATAGGCCAAAGAAGAACGTGAACACGATGGAGGATTATGTTTCAGATACTCGATATCCAGGCCATGTAAGGTTTTTGTAATCGAAAAGTTCGGATGCAATGGTCGATGATTATTTGTAGGAAATACATGGTGTAGTCTTTAACTTGAAATATGGTAGAATAATAGACTAGACCCTTTTGTGATTAAGAATATTAGCTGCGTCATTTCTTTTCTTGGCATAATGAATTTTGAGGAAAAGATTGTTAAAGCTGCATTTTCCTCCACAAAACGTGCGGGTTTAAAAAGCTTATGATATGCAATATCCATAATTACAGATCCGAGCCTATATTTTTGTGTCGAGGAATCAAAAATGGGACTTTCCTTGGCCTTCTCAAGAAGACTATTTAAAACTTTAAAAGGGACAGAGTAAGTTTGGTGTGAATGTGATGTAGACCTAACTGCTGATTTATATAAGGTTATAATTAATCAAAAGAGACGTCGTGTATTGTAGGTTTATTGTACGACCGATTCCAATGACTACGCTGACGTCTATGTGTGGCTCAACTAGGATTTATGGATAAGTAGTTCCGTAAAAATATTTCCATACGCCAAATTTGAATTAATGCGCCTTGCTTTATAATCGGATTTATACGCCAAATTCGATTGAATGCGAGTTGTTGGATAATGAAAAAGGAAATTAGATGAATT